TTACCCAGGCTGGAGTGCAATAGCGCGATCTCGGCTCACCGCAACCTCCGCCTCCTGGGTTCAGGCAATTCTGCCTCAGCCTCCTGAGTAGCTGGGATTACAGGCACGTGCCACCATGCCCAGCTAATTTTTTGTATTTTTAGTAGAGACGGGGTTTCACCATGTTGACCAGGATGGTCTCGATCTCTTGACCTCGTGATCCACCCGCCTCGGCCTCCCAAAGTGCTGGGATTACAGGCTTGAGCCACCGCGCCCGGCTTTTATCTAGAATTTTATTGTCTTTCTATAATGCCGTATGTGATCATTTCATAATCAAATCAAGTTACACATTTGTTCCTAAACCTACAGTCACTTCACAGAATTTAAGAGGTGTTTTTTTTTCCTCCGTTTCCTCAGCATTTCTGGAAAGTTTACATTTCCAGCCTTCTCCCACAGTTTGCCCTTTTGCTGGGTGACTGTAGCAATCTCCTAAATTCCAGAAAAATCCCAGGAGGATGCTCCAGGCTGGCTAGTTGTCTACTCAATGCTGCCTTGCTGGCTGGTGAAGGGGCCTGGGAGAGGTGGACCCTTCCTCAGGGAGAGCAGGGTCAGGGGTCGGGCTCATGCTCTGGAGTGCTAGGCAGGGCCACATCTGTAATTAACTGGGAGGCGAACCTTATGTCATGGGTCAAGACACTTTCCACAGTTAACATCTCTGAAATCAAAGTACTGTAACACTTGAGAGTGTAGCCTGGTTTGACTGGCAGCAGTTTTTTTTTTTTCTTAGTAGTTTATAGAGTAAGTGTCTTATAACGAAGAGCATCTTAAATTCAGTAACATGCAAATAAAAGAAATTCCCTTGCAGTGTGTCTTCTCTCCTGAGACCTGCCCCAGACACACTTTGACACTGGTACAGACAGCATCAGGCCAGCATGGCCCTTCACCATGGCCTCTTCCTGCCCCTCTAGAATTTTGTTTCTAGACTCTAGAAATAATGGATGCCTGAAAACATGTTCAGGACCAAGAGCTCCAAAGCTGCCAGCAGGTCTCCAGCCCGCCTCTGAGCCGCCTGTGACTCCCAGGCTTCCCATCTGCCCAGCAGGGAATGTCAACACAGGAGGGAGGAGCACAGAGGGGTGGGTGGCACATTTGTGGGGACCGGGTACCAGGGCGCCTGAAAAACATCAGTGGATGCCCCATCAGAGCCTTGTGGACCTCCACCGGCTTCCTCCAGGCCAGATCACAAGGAGAGCAGTCAACAGGGAGGCAGCTGGCCAGGGTCAAGGGTCAAGGGTCAAGGCCCAGCTGGCGCTCACAGCCATTTGACCTTGGAGACATTACAAACTCTTTTGTACCTGATCTGCCTCCTCTCTAAAATGGAACCAAAATAATTTCCCCTAGATGTTCCCTGGGTTGTTTGAGCTCTAAATGAGAGTGTATCAGAACCTTGACAGAACCCCAAAATGGGGACCTGCTGGCAGCTTTGGAGCTCCTTGTTCTGTACAAGTTCCCAGATCTCCATTATTTACAAACAAAATTCTGGAAGAGCAGGAAGACACCCTGGAGGAGGGCCATGCTGGCCCAGTGCCGTCTGTGCCAGCTGCAGAGTGTCCAGGCGAGTTTCTGGGGAAAACACATTTTCCAATGTATCTCTTCTTACTGGATATCTAGGAAACTAGGGGTTGGCAGGCTACAGCTGCTGGCCAAATCTGACCTAGTTTTGTCAATAAAGTTTTATTGAAACAGCCACATCCATTTTTTATGTGTGGTGGCTGGCAGTTTTCACAGCACAAGGCAGAGCTGAGAAGTTGCAACAGAAATACGGCCCACAAAGCACGAACTGTTTACTGTTGGGCCCTTTGTAGTGAAAGCGTATGTAAACTGGAGTACTGTTACTCTTGTCCATGTGGGAGTCCCAAACCAGGCTTCACGTCCAAACCACCTGGAGACGTGTTTAAATGCATATTCTTGGGTTCCAGCTTTACTGAATTAGAATCTTTGGAGCCAGAAACATTATATTATAGCCTCCCACCCAGATAGTCCTTTTCTAACCCAGGGTTTGGAGAACAGGTAAAGCTGCTCAAAAGAATGGACCAGCCGGGCGCGGTGGCTCACGCCTATAATCCCAGCACTTTGGAAGGCTGAGGCGGGTGGATCACGAGGTCAAGAGATCGAGACCATCCTGGTCAACATGGTGAAACCCCGTCTCTACTAAAAATACAAAACATTAGCTGGGCATGGTGGCACGTGCCTGTAATCCCAGCTACTCAGGAGGCTGAGGCAGGAGAATTGCCTGAACCCAGGAGGCGGAGGTTGCGGTGAGCCGAGATCGTGCCATTGCACTCCAGCCTGGGTAACAAGAGCAAAACTCCGTCTCAAAAAAAAAAAAAAAACTAAAAATGGACCAGAACAGTGTCAGCGTGGGGAATGAATATTAAACCAGGGGATCAGCAGCTCGTGGCTGTGTGGCACTCTGCCATTCTGACGGCCGTGGCGGTGGGAAGAGGTCATCAGGGTGCAGACCCCTGGCCACAGGAGGACAGGGTCCTGAAGAGAAGCCCATGAAACCTGTCCCTTCACAGGCTCACTGAGCTTTGACTTTTTACAGCCATGTCAAAATCTGCTGTGAAGATATCCTTGGATTTACTCTCCAATCCCCTCTGTGAGCAAGACCAGGACCTTCTGAACATGGTGACAGCCCTGGACACCGCCATGAAGCGGATGGATGCCTTCAACCAGGAAAAGGTAGGTGACTGGATCTTGGTCTGGGGGGCCTCTCCCTGGAGGGACTGTGCAGGGAGGCCTGAGTGGGCTCCTTCTGCTCTCAGGGCACTCAGCCCTCCGACCTCATGTGCTATAATGTGCCGCAGGCCCACAGGGCTCTTCCCAGACTGTTCTGCCCTGGCTCTCCCTGCTTCCTGAGGCTCCACGAGCTAACATCACTCACTGTGAGGGTCACCCATGGTGGTCCTGTTCACGCAGCCCCTAAGCCTTCTGTGGCTCAGGCCCAGGACAAGGACAGCACCCTGTGGTCTTGGGGGCTTTTTGGTCCAGCAGTAGTTAGGGGCCGGCCTTGCCTATCGTCCTCCCCTCCCCCACCCCACCAGTTTTAATGTCTTTGGGCTTTTCTTTTGCAGGTGAACCAAATTCAGAAGACTGTAATTGAGCCCTTAAAAAAGTGAGTAAATGTCACCTGGGGGCCTCGGGGCACTTATGGGAGAGGCAGGTCAGTGGCCACTTGGAGCTTGAACAGCGTTTCTAATAGCCTGTCTCCAGATTCCCATGGGGACTAACAAGAAACTCAATGGGGACGTTAGCTCTATGACCTGTGGCTTAAGGGTCTGTGCTACTGTGGGCTTTAGAGCACCTGCATGGCCCAGGTGAGCTCAGGTGACCCCTGCCCGCCACCCCCACAAGCAATCGGCCACTGCTCCGGTGGTCATTTGACTGCTTCCTCCTGATTGAGAGCCAGTGGGGCCAGGCTTGCTGAATGGAGCTAGCAGAGATCTTGGCCATCCCACAGCGGACATGAGCAAGGCCTTTCATCTTGCCCCGCCGGATTGGGAGAGCAGCTGCCTGCAGCATTCGGCTTTGGAAATGTGGGGGTGGCCGCACACAGGGAGGGGTGTGGCAACAGGGTCTGGCCTGGGAAGGTCCCCTAGCTTGTGACCTGTCGGGGTCAAGAATGCTTCTGTGAGACTCATCTGTCAGGCAGGCCCTGGTCGGTGATCAGACAGGCCTATTCCCTCGATCCCCAGGGCGGGAACAGGCAGAGCCATGCCTTGAAGCCCCGAATCACTTCATCTTCTTCCCTGGCCTCTCCCGAGCAGGCTGTGACCTAGAAAGCGCCTGCTTGCCCAGCTGCACTTCCTTGCCTCTTCTGTGGTGGTCCTGGGCAGTTGCCTTGCCAGGGCCGGGTAATGAGGCTCTGCCTAATTATCACTGGCCTGGCCCAGGGCCCAGAGGGCGATGAGGGGAGCAGTTTTGATCCTGCAGCCCCTGGGGTTTGGGGTTGCTGAGCTGTTTGTTGACTGTGTAGGCTTGAAGTATGGGATTAGGAAAAGGCCCGCCTGTCACTAGCAAGCTGTTGTTTCTAAGCCAGGACCGTGGAGGCTCAGTGATGGCAGGGAGGGAAGGGACTGCACCTCCCACTCTGGACCTGGCCCCGCAGCCTCCCCAGAATGGGTATCCAACACCCCCTGCCTGCTGGTGACTGGTGACAGTGCAGCCCTGTGCCACAGGGTTATATAGGGAGCTTGGGTGCAGAAGGAGCTCCATGGCTGTGGTTTTTAGTCCTGGGCTTCAGGACAGACGGTTCAGGGCTGGTTGGGAAGGACACAAGCCAAGAAGACCCTGCTCACAGAGGGCTCTTCTGTGCCAGGGCTGCAAGGGTCCCAGAGACGGACACAGAGGCTGCCACAGGCACCCATGGTTGGCAGCGTGAGGCAGGGACCCAGCTCAGAGAACTGGGGGACTGACTCCCACCTCAATTTCAGTACCAACAAGGCGCCCTTGAAATCTGATCCCTGGCTTCTGGAGCCCAAATGGAGAGAAACCCCGGCCTCTTCCCACCACCCTGGTGGCCCACCACCTGCCAGGAAGGTGGGGGCGTGGCAGAGGGGGCGCACCATCTCCGCTGCAGATCCGCTGACCTCTGCATGAGCCCTCAGGCCTGCCTGGCTGGCTTCTCCCTGCATCCCCACAGCTGACATACGATCTCCCCTGACCACATAAAACCGCGCAGCCTGCAGCCTCCTCCCCATTGGCTTCCTCTTGCCAGAAGAGAAGCTCCCAGGGACCCCAGCACCGGAAACAGGAAACTGCAGCTTTCCTGTCCTCTGATGAAGATCATGGCCACATGGCCACCCCACCGCCCCCAGCCTCCCCGCAGGGGCTTGGCCTCTAATCCCCAGTCTCTGGGCTATGTTCACATGTCGGATGGGGATGCTTTCAATTTCCCTTTCCTGGTGGGTGGAAGCTCCCGGCCGCGTGGGCACAGACCAAGGCATGGCAGGCATTCCCCACCAGTGCTGGCTGCACCCAGCCGGCCTCCCTCTCCCTCCCTGTTCTGCTCCTCTTCGCCCCATGCATCCCCAGGGGAGTGAGTTTGATACTAAGCCTTAAGACAGGCAAGAATTGGCAGTGATCATGAGTGTTGCTTTGATCACTGGCCTGGGCCCAGCCTGGCCCTGTTATTTGAGGATAAATGTAAAAGAAACTTCAGGAGCTTACAGTGTAGTGGAAAGCCACGATCTGTTCTCTGGTCAGCGGTGGGTGTGGCAGTGCCAGTGTGGTTCAGTACTGTGGAGGAGAGCATGCTGGGTGGCCTGTCCCACCTGCCCCCACCCAGCCTGGGAGCCTGTTTCCTCACGTGGAAAGAGAGGGCTAAACTGACTTCTCAGAATGGGACAGTCAGCATCTAGGAGCAGGAGAGGTGGTTTTGGTGGGCTGAGGTGAGCAAGGAGAAAGGAGGGGTGAAGTGCGCTGCGACAGCAGAGTGGAGCCTGGGTCCTGGCCTTGCTCCTGTGGACAGGTCCCCACCATGTGATTGGGTGGAGTCAGCAAGGCCTCTATGGTGTCCCAGGGGCGTATCTGAGAGGGGTCAGCACAGGGGCCTAGCCTGTACGTGTCTTCACCTCCCCTGTCGGCACCCTGAGCCCTGAGCTGAGGTCCCGCGCGGCACCATGGCACATCCACCATCCACCGCTGGGCTTTGGCAAAGTCTTCCATTGCTGAGAAGTAGAAAACAGGGAGGTGGGGCCTCAATGGGTCAGCGACCAGAGCAGATGTGACAGCGTCCTGGTCCCCCACGTTTCAGCCACCTTGAGACAGGCTTTGCCCCGCCCTGACTGATGTAAGTTTCCTCGGAATGTAGAAGGGTGTGACCCTTGTCCCTACCCCTAGGGAATCCCAGTCCCAGGATCCAACCTCCCCTACTGTGGTGGTAATTTATCAGCAGTCACCTCCAGTGGCCTGAGCAGGCAGAGCCTCTTGGTGACTGAGGGTGCTATTGTGGGAGATGCAAGCTTTCATGGTGAAGACACACCCTTCTCACAGGGGCAGGTGCCCTGCAGCCATGTCCCCTGCAGAGGCCAGGTGGTCTTGGTTCCAGGGGGCTGGTAGGATCCCATGCAGTCAGGTGGCCTCCTGGAGACACTGCCACCCCATCCCCCCCAAGGAGCCCTGTAACCCAGCCTCCCTCACCCCTGCTCGGCACTGCCCTGTAGTCAGTGCTCCTGGTGGCTCTGACGCTGGCCCCGGAAATAATAAGTCCCAGCTGTGGGAAGGGGGCTATGAGAGGGCCGCAGGGATGTTGGGGGTTGGGCTGCTGGAGCAACGAGCATGAAGCTCCTCCCATCCTGCGCCATGGAAGGCGCCTTGTGTACACATGGCTTCATGCTGTGATGCCTGCCTTCCTGAGGATGTGAGCTCAGCATGGTGGGATTGGGGCCAGGGCCAGAGAGCCCTCCACCTGCTGCCTCCTGCCTGCTTATCATCTTTGCCCTGTCCCGGTGCTAGCACCCACCCAGCAGCTCCCAGGCACCCACAAGGCCGAGGCACTGGGACCGTGCAGGCAGCAGGTGGCTTCCAACACAAGGTCCAGGGTGAGGACCGGGGTAGCTGCCAGTGGTCCGTTGGCCATTTGGGGCGGAGGGAGAGGTGGCGTGGTAGCCTTTGAGGCCAGCTGCACCTGCTGCCTGAACATGTGCCTCTCAGCTGCCCAGGAAGAGGGGCGGGGCTCCCCAGCAGCTGCAGCTCCGCCAGCTGCCCTGGGTGAAAGCATCGAGCCCAGCTCCTCCCAGCGGTCTCACTCCAGCCCACGCCATGGGTGGCCATGCGTCCTGGTGGTGTCTCCTTCCTATCAGTTCCGCAGCGCTGAGGGGGCCTGCGTTCTCCATGGGCAGTGCTGGGAGGCCCATGACTTCTGCCTAGCAATTTGTTCAGATGCTGGTTTGATTACTGTGTCTAAGGGCACGGCTGAGGATTCAGGGCACTTTGGTGGCTTTACCCACTTAGCACTTTGTTAGGCAGGGAGCCCGTTACAGACACTTGAGGTGGAGGATTCGTGTTAGTGGCCTTTCTTGGGGATAAGACCTTTGTTTCATCAAAGTCTACTCCCTGGGTCTGTGGCTTAGTTTGGGGCATTTAATGCTTTGGTAAAGTTTATATCCTCTTATTCTCTGGCAAAATTGTTCATTACTCCTACCTCGCCTGGACACTTGATTTGCTGAAGGTTTTTAAAACCAGGCTCATGACTGCAATCCCAGCACTTTAGGAGGCCGAGACAAGTGGCTTACTCAAGGTAAGGAGTTCGAGACCAGCCTGGCCAATACGGTGAAACCCCGTCTCTACTAAAAATACAAACATTAGCTGGTCGTGGTGGTGCACGCCTGTAATCCCAACTACTCAGGAGGCTGAGGCATGAGAATCACTGGAACCCAGGAGGCAGAGGCTGCAATGAGCAGAGATCATGCCACTGTACTCCAGCCTGACGGAGAGAACAAGACTTCATCTCAAAACCAAATTCATGGTCATGTTCCTTTGAGAGGCAGATCTGAGAAGTCCTGCTCCGCCTGGTGTCTGAGCTCCTAGAAGCTGACAGTGAGTCTGCCGGCATCCTCTCAGCTGAGTGCCTGTGAGAGGCTGACCCCAGCCTCAGTAACTGCTTCCTGCCCTCATCTTTCCTCCTCTCTGGGTTCATCATAAAAACCTCCAGGAGGAACCAACTCTTCTGGTATTGGGTCACCTCCAAATGGCCACAGTCACGAGCTCCCTGCGCTGCACAACTGGACCATGAGCTCTCCTGGGACTCGGGCTTGCCCTGCTGTCACACTGAGGGCCAGCCCTCCAGCAGCAGCAAGAGCCCCGGGAGAGCATTGCTCCTGGTCACTAAAGGCCACACGGGTCACAGATGAGGCCCCTGGGGACCTGCAGTGCTGCATCGTCCACTGCTGCTCTTTCTGGGGGCCACTCCCCTGAGTCTCCCACGTGGTCTTTTCTAGTCACGATGGGGTAGGAGGAGGTCCTCAGGGCATTTTCCTAAAGCAGCTGGTTGGCGCTTTGGACATTCCAGTGGCAGAACTATAGGACTTTTGGTTTTTTTTTTTTTTTTTTTTTTTTTTTTTTTTTTGAGATAGAGTCCTGCTCTGTCGCTATGCTGGAGTGCAGTGGCGCAATCTCAGCTCACTACAATCTCCACCTCCCGGGTTCAAGCGATTCCCCTGCCTCAGCCTCCCGAGTAGCTGGGACTACAGGCATGTACCACCATACCCGGCTAGCTTTTTTTTTGTATTTTAGTAGAGACAGGATTTCACCATCTTGGCCAGAATGGTCTTGATCTCCTGACCTTGTGATCCACCCACCTCGGCCTCCCAGAGTACTGGGATTACAGGCGTGAGCCACCATGCCCGGCTCTGCTCCTTTCATGTTGCCAAGGACGCCTTGAAGGAGAAGGTGTCCTGGGCTAGGAGTAAGTTCAGATTTCAGCTCTGTCACCTGCCATTGGCACTGTGAGGGCTGGAAAGAGTGCCAGACAGAGAATGTGGACAACTGTGCTCTCTTCTGGACCTTCTCTGCCTCATTGTGACCTTGGTTGAGTTACATATCATCTCTATCCTCAGTTTCCCTCCTTTTTAAAAGTGAAGTGTTAGCCAGATGACTTCAAAGCACCTTCCCCACTATCCTTCAGTCCATTGTGTGGTGAAGCTCACAGGAGGTGGGGGTCAGGGCACCCTTCCTTCCTGGTTCGCCCTATGCTGCCCGGCTCCCAGCACCTGGCCCACAGCCCTTTCCCCTCTCATCTGTCCTCACCCCACGACGACATCCTCATTTGCACAAGCTGCAGGGGACAGAGCCTCATCTGTCTTGTTCACAGTGAACTCCCCGAGACCTAGAGCACAGTCTGGCAATTAGTAGGTGCTCAGGACATATTTTTGGATAAGTGAGTGCTGGTCAGGCCACCCCTCCAAGAGCAGGCCCACCTCCAGCCAGCTCGTCCCACAGGTTCGGCAGCGTCTTCCCGAGCCTCAACATGGCCGTGAAGCGGCGGGAACAGGCCTTGCAGGACTACAGGAGGCTGCAGGCCAAGGTGGAGAAGTACGAGGAAAAGGAGAAGACGGGGCCAGTGCTGGCCAAGCTCCACCAGGTACCAGGGAGGGCAGGCAGGCAGCGGGTAGACGGACAGGCCATCGTGGTCACCTGTGGAAAGTCCCTTCTTTCACCTGGGAGCACCAGGACCGAGATTGCATGTCCCCACTCCACCCATCCTGTATCCTGTACCAGCAGAGATAGCGAGCTCTGACACCCTGGGTCTCGTTCCCTAGGCGCGAGAGGAGCTGCGGCCCGTGCGGGAGGACTTTGAAGCCAAGAACAGGCAGCTACTGGAGGAGATGCCGCGCTTCTATGGCAGCCGCCTTGACTACTTCCAGCCCAGCTTTGAGTCCCTCATCCGAGCGCAGGTGAGGCCGCCGGGCTTGGTGGACGTATCTCGTGCCACTCTCTGTCACCCACGCTGGAAGAGTGACTTAGTCATTTTCCACCCCAGGCATGGCCCCAAAGGAATTCATTCCAGTAGCAGAGTGCCAGGCTTGGCAACTCGGGGGCCCTGACTCTCTGCTATTTGAGTTCTGACATTGCTCTCTGATGAATCCCAGACCAGGAATGGCCAAGGTTCCCCTTTGCCCACTCGTTCCTCCCTGGGTCTCCCTGCATTTCACTGTAAGCAGCTGCTCCGCCCTACACCCTCAGGTGGGCAGGCTCGTGGCCCAGGTGGTGCAGAGAAGGGATCTGAAGGGTGGAGGCCTTTTCTGAGGACCCAGCTCCCTGCCACACCCACCCCTAGCCAGTCCTCTTTTTAGCGGGAGATGGCAGAGTCCTGCCTTGGAGCCACCAGAGAAGGGGTCCCAGAACCCTGGAGAGAGCCACAGTCAGGGCTGCCGCTGGGACCCTGGGGTTGGCCTGGGGCATGGGGCCATACCACTGGGGATCAGACATGGGCCAGGTCCCAGCGTCTCCTTCCACTTGGGGCGGGAGGACTCAGAGTGGCAGCGCCTGTGGCTCCCGCCCCCTCACCCTCCTCTCCCTGCTCCACTTCCTCCCCTCCTACCCCTCCTCCGTCTTCAAGCCTTTAGCAAGGATTGTTCCCTCAACTGGCAAAATAGAAGAGGGTGGGCACCCATGCCAAGAGTGGGTCCCTTCCACGCAAGGCCCCACTGGTGGCTTGTGCTCAGCAACAGCCTCGGGACCCCAACACCTGTGGCACCCCTTGGTGCCAGGTCCTCAAGCCACAGGCTCTGCGCCTCCCAGCCCCTGCAGTCTGAGCATGGCTGGGTGTCTGGCACCCTCCGGTGGCCGCGGCCATTCCTGCAGGCCCTGCAGTCGCAGCCCAGAAGCCTGGCCTGCAAGCCCACCCTGCTGGGCCAAAGTCAGGGTGGCCACCTGCCCCAATCAGGATGCCTGGGCAGGGTTTATGCCAGGGCTGGGCCTTGTTACCCACATCCTTGGTCCTGTGCCATCTCTAGGGGGCAGTGAGAACTAGAGCCTCATGCAAGAAGGGTGAGGGACTTCTCCCAATACTTCCTCCTACGGCAAGGGCTCCCTCTGGCTGCCCCACTGGGTTCAGTGGAGACCTGGGCCTGCCCCTTCCTCACTGTCACCTGGGTGCTCCCCTGCACCCTCCCTCCTGTTGCTCACAGGAGGAAGCCACAGGGTGCCAGGCTTCCGCGTGCCCAGGTTGGAGCAGATGGGAGGCCAGGGATGCCCTGTAACCAGGCAGCATCACTGGGGGCTGTTGGCTGCCTCCCAGGCCCCAGCCTCCCCCTCACCCGCACGGCTGCCATTAGTCATGGAGAAGTAAGCATTCCCAGTGACTCACTGTGCAGTGGCTCGGGCAGGGAGTGGGGATAGGGTTGCCCACCCCCAGCCCAGAGGTGACAGTAGTGTGTTGAGACCTGCTCACTTTAGCTCCCCCTTGGCCAGTGGAAACTTCGCTGTGGGGGTCTCGGCCATGGGTCCCTGCCCCACCTGGTATTTTCCACAAGGTCCCCTCCTGTCTAGGGTGCCTTGTGTGTAGAGTATAAAGCATGGAAGCTTTCAGGAAAGTGCATGCTTTCATTGGTTCATGAGGTAGAAACTGAGGCAGAAGTGGCCCCTATTGTCCTTGAAAAAGCGCCTGGTCCTCAGCCATCTGAGGATGCTGATGGGCTTCCCCATTCCTCCACCCACCCCACCCTCATTCCTGTGTCCCGTCCCCCCACCCCGTTTCTGGTGCCTCTGTAGAGGGACCCCTGGCAGTGAGCCTGGCCTCTGAGCTGTGCCCCTGGCTACGCAGCTCAGGCCATGAGCAAGGATGGGATATGAGTTGGGAGGCAACGGAAGGCTAGACGGGCATCCCCTTTCTCACCTGTGCTTCTAAAGCTGGCTTAGGGCTTTGGGAGCCACCAGCCTACCATGCCCTCTTTCTGCCATGGACAAAAAAGCCTTGAATTCTCCCCTAGCTTACAAAACGCAGAATACCAATCACGGTGCCCATCATTTCACAGCCACCCTAGGAGGCCAATGCCTTCCTGCACTGCTGCTGGGGGAACCAAAAGGAGGCAGGGAGCAACTGCGCCTCCACCCACAGCCACTGAGGCCCAGCTGCTCCCTGCCTCCTTTTGGTTCAGTCTCAGCTAGTGCCTTTCCATGCCTTGCACGTCCCCAAAGGCACGCTGCTGCGCAGCTCCAGATGGGTGAGAGCGGGCAGGAGTGGCAGCCTCTGTGACCCTGAAGCACATGGTTCCCTGGAGGCATCACATGCCAACCTGTCACCTCCCCCAGGTTGTGTACTACTCAGAAATGCACAAGATCTTTGGAGACCTGACCCAGCAGCTTGACCAGCCAGGCCACTCGGACGAGCAGCGGGAACGGGAGAACGAGGCCAAACTCAGTGAGCTCCGGGCCCTCTCCATTGTGGCTGATGACTGAAAACCCGTGACTCTTGGAGGACTCCTGTGACACGGTCAGCCTTGCTCGTTCTTGCCCTTCTCAGGGCTAGGGTCCCACTCTTCCCACAGGCTGGGGACAGAGGTGGCCCTTGTTCACTTGCCGGCCCTTTGCAATGAGTGACTCTTCCTGAGCCCAGCATCAGAAGCCCTAGGCAGGCCGCCGTCTCCCCACTCACAGCCCCAGCAGGTAAGCAGTGTAGACAAACCCTGGGGGCTTTTTTATTTGGAGAACCGTCCACCATGCATCCTGGCTCATGGCCTGAGCAAGTGGCAGCCCTTCCAAGGGCATGGCCTTCATTGGCTCAGTTGGGGGTCTTAGCCCTGCATGTGTGGTGGGGAGCAAATCTACCTCCAAAGGATTACGTCCTGGGGAGCCTACTGGCCCCTTGTTGCCTTTTCACTTCAAAGCTTCTTTTTTCTGGGAGAGGCCCTGAGCCCTGCCAGGGAGAGCTGGTCCTCCAGCCCTGGCAGGCCCTCAGCCAGCTTCCCAGCAAGACAAAAGCCACCATCGTGGCTTTGGGACCCAAGTCCCGAAAGTCCCTGGGATTCCCAAGGTAACAGAACTGTTAGCTCGGGAACTCAAACTGTCAGCGCAACTGTCCCATGTTAATTCTTGCGCCTCAAAACAAGAACAGTGGGTTTGTGTCTCACCTGAATATTTGGAATTTTATTTTTTCAAGTAAAGTTTTCAATGAAATGTCCACATGGTATTGTGCTGTAACTTAGGGCACCCTCCAGCCCAGCTATGCACACCTCCCCTGCCCTGCTCCACCTTCTGAGGCAAACTGCACCATGGTCCAGCAGAGACCCTGAGCGGAAGGACATGCAGGCAGGCCTAGAAGAGCAGGAAAAGCTAGGGAGGACACACTCGGTTTGTTTTTGACTTTGGTTTATTTAAAAAACAAAAAGCCAAAAAAAAAAAAAAAAAAAAACCCAACTTTATATACAAAGTCAAACTGAAACCACGGATTATGGAAAGAGGCAAGAATTATGGGGAACAGGGGAGAAGGCTGGGCCAGAGCCAATACCACATTCTGAACACAGGAGCCACGGGAAAGAAGTGCTGGTTTCTTCTGGTGAGTCTGGGGTGACTGGGACACAGTGTTCTATTGGCAAACAAAGCCCAACACTGAGTGCTTTCTAGCATGGACTCCATTCCCAGGATGGCTGAGGGAGACCCTTCCCCCAGAAGCCTGCGTCCGGAACTAGCAGGGCCTGTGCCATCCGGAGGAGGGGGCACTTAGCCCCAGCCAGGCTCCACGTCTGTCTCTTCAGTTCAGTTCACTGACAACAGACATTGTCACACACTCGAAAAGCCTTTTTCTCCCCTGTCTTATTCTAAACTGGAAGAGGACAGGAGAAAGTCAGCACAAGACTAAAAGGGCCCCAGGAGAAATTCCAAGGTGGAGGGCAAAATGACATTCTCGGGGTGCAAAAGATGTTGTATTTAGTTGTAAGTGGAACCGGGATTCCTCACGCGTCCATCCCACATAGCACAGCCCCCAGCCTGATGGCCTGCCGTCCCCTAGAGGCTGAGCGCAGGGTCAGCCACCCCTGCCCTGGCTCCCAGGTCTTGCTCCCACTGCTTTCTGGTACCGCAAGGGCTCCAACTTTGCCAGGTGCCACCGCTGCCCTCACAGGATGGCAGTTCCATGCGAGGCCGTCAGTTGCTAGGTGCCGGCTCCTCCTTCTCCACCCAGCTGTCAGCCTGTTTGAAACAGATGTACCCAGAATTGGTCCTGGCAAGACAATCTGATGACTGCGTACTGCCTCCTGCTGGGAAGCTCCCCACTGCTGACTGCTCAATTCTCAGAGAACCGGCAATCGGGGCCACACAGCCTGACAAGCAACGGAAGGAAGAAGCCGGTGCCTGCTGGCCCTCTGGTAACTCTGGACATGGTGGCAAGCGCCCTTCCGGGGGCTTTTGGGGCTCAGGGAAAGGAGCTGCACGGCCTCCTGGTCCACCCCTACCTTACCTTTTCCACCACCCGCTGCATCTCCAGCTGCAGGGGGGCCAGGCGCCTGCGGAGCTCCTGCAGCAGCCGCTGGAGCTGGCTTTTCTGTCGCTCTGCCATCCGGGCGGTCTCCTCGGCCTCCGCTAGCCGGGCTCGCAGCTCCTGCATCTCAGCCGCCAGCGTCTTATTTGTAACTTCAGTGGCTGAGAAACGGTTATGGCTCTCCTCTGTGAGGTGGAGGAGGAAACAAAACGGACACAGCTCCATCAAGTCGCTGAGCATAGCGCAGAGCCTAAGTGGTGGCTTCCCCACTGGTCTGCACGCGTCCCCGTGGTGGCCACAGCCCTAGGCCCTCACCCAGCTTCAGCTCCAGTGTGTGGATCTTGTTCTCCAGGTAAAGCCGCCCACTGTCCTGCTGCTCTGCACGCTGTAGCAGACTCCCCACATTGATCAGGCTGCCATTGTGGGACACCAAGGCTTTGTGTTCCGTGGGGGTGGCACCTGGTTTCGTGCTTTTCCCAGGAGGAGGCAGCAGATCCAGGTTTCCTAGAGGAAGCCATGCAAAAGATTTTAGGATGGGGCCTAGGAGGAGAGGGCAGCCTGCCCTGCCAGTTCCCCAGGAAGGCTGCAGAGCCCCAGGACATACCAAAGAGCACCTCCTCTGGAAGGCCACCATCCAGGCTCTCTTGGCGGCTGTACTGAAGGCTCCGGTACTGGCAGATGTTCTGGGTCACCACCCTACTGACCAGCTGCTTGGCCTGCAGAAAACACACCCTCAGATACCTGCCAATCAGAAGGCCTCATCTCTGACCCCGGTGGTGTGCAGGAACCTGGAGGAGGAGTAAGTACAGGCCTGTGCCCGTGTGCTGGGGACAGGAAAAAGGTACCTGCTCAGCACTGAGCCGGATCCCAAGGGTAAGGAGGATCCTCTCCAAGTCCCGCCGGTGCAAGTAGCCACACCAGTTGGCATCAAAGAACACAAAAGCAAGCAGACAGTCCAAGGGGAGCACAGCAGAGGGATCCAGCTCCTTGGGCTGCAAAGAAAACAAAGATGAGCAGGATTTGCAAATAGGAAGTTCCCTCAGTGGCTCTACTGCCCAGGATTCAGTGGCTCAGGCCACGTGCAGTGATGCACTCCTAGAGTCCCAGCTACTGAGAAGGCTAAGGCAAGAGGATCACTTGAGCCCATTCATGCCTGTGAATAACTACTGTGCTCCAGCCTGGGCAACATAGCGAGACCCCATCTCTAAAAAAACAAAACATCAAGCAGCTTGGTGGTTGATGTTCATCACACCCAAGCCAGCCTTCCTCTCTGGGGCACTTTCAAAAAAGAACCTCCTGTGCTCCTCTCTCAGGAGAGGATCAAATACTACTACTCTGATTCACCCCGACAGACACGGAAATGTTCTCCTGGCCTATGAACATGCCCTTCATGAGCCAAGGGCCACACTGTGTGTTGGGTCCGTTGAGAAAAGTCACTGATAAGCATCCTTCCCCCACGAGCACCACTACAGCCCAGAGAGGTTGAGAACAGGCCTCACCATGTCCTGAAGTGAAGAGAACTCCATCTCTGACTGGTTTGAGGCAACGGAACGGACCTCCGAATCCTCCAGCTTTGCTCCTGCTACAGAAAGCCCAAGATAAATGGAGAGCAGGGCCCACCACGGCCCCACAGTCTGAAAATGAAAAGCAGCTAGGCCGCAGGTAGAAAGCCACATCCCGAGCCTGCAAGTTCCCCTCCCACCACTCTACGTACTGAACTCCTCCTCTCCATCATCCCTCAGAAGCAGCAGTTCTGGGTCCAAGGCCATCTCACACAGGTCCTCGGAAGCCTCGCCCCGGGGTTTTTCTTCTTCTTCTCCCCCAGAAGAGGTTGGTTTGGCCAAAAGCCCATCCTCCTTCTAGGGAAGCAGACGAAGGCGATGAGGAGAAGGCAGGCAGTTACTGTAATTACCAACAGTAATCATGGCTGACACATGAATATCAACTATGCCCCAGGCACTGTGGAGGGCTCTACAGACACTCTCTCATTTCATGTATTTAATTTCATTACTTGCAATTCAGAGCATGCCAGGGCATCACCAGACACCTAGGCTTTTCCTCAGGTGTTGATCTTGGTCCCAGAAGAAATTATATTTACTTTATTTAAACAAGAAGCAGCTGGGCATGGTGGCACATGACTGTAATCCCAGCACTTTAGGAGGCCGAGGCAGGTGGATCACCTGAGGTCAGGAGTTCAAGACCAGCCAGGCCAACATGGTGAAACCCCATCTCTACATAAATAGAAAAGTTAGCTGGAGGCCGGGCGCGGTGGCTCACGCCTGTAATCCCAGCACTTTGGGAGGCCGAGGCGGGCGGATCACGAGGTCAAGAGATCGAGACCATCCTGGTCAACAGGGTGAAACCCCGTCTCCACTAAAAATACAAAAAATTAGCTGGGCATGGTGGCGCGTGCCTGTAATCCCATCTACTCAGGAGGCTG